GGTCAATACCAGCGCCCTGTGGGAAGGATCATCCCCACAAGGGACTATCCCTGCGCAAAGGGCAGTACCTGGCTGGCTGCGTGGGATTACAGCATCCCGCAGGGCACAGGATCCCAAGCGGGTGAGCGCCCCATGCTTTATAATCAGGGATGTGGCCCAGCCAAAAACTGGGGGCGCGTAGGTACTCACCCACGGGAACTGGAGTCCGCGGTTCCCGCGGGGACGCCCTGCCAGCCACGGCGGGCGAGCCGGGCGAGATGCGAGGAGGTGCTGGGGTCTGCCTCTACAGGCTGAAGGAGAGGCACCACCGGGGCCGGCCCAACAGCAGCTCGGAGTCATCGGCCAAGCACTCCCGGCACACCTCGGAGCGGAGGAAGAGCCCGTCGCCCAGCCCTGGCCAGCGCAGCAGCTCCTGGAGCTCCAGCGGTTCTCTCCCGGGAGAAGAGAGCGGGACGCAGCCGCTCCCGCTCAACCTCACCGAAAAAGCCCGCCAGCAGGTCAGCCCCCGGGGGGGCTTCGGCATGGGGGGCATGGGGACCAGCAATGGGCTCAGAGAGCATCCACGGCTCAGGGTGGTCCCGGCTGCCCCAGGGCTCAGGGAGGGGGTTACGGATCATCACTGGCCCTGGTGGCACTGGAAGCACCTTCTCTAGGTGGGGGTGTCACCTCCATGGGGAGCTACTGTCCCTGCATCCCACCTGGGACCCCAGCCCACACCCTTGACGCTCCTCCTTCTCCTCCTTGTGGTGTAGGGAGAAGGACAACGAGCCCCGAACACGCCACAGTGACCCCGATCCCACCCGCACCCGACGCCGCTCCAGGAGCTACTCCCCCATCAGGAAGAGGAGACGTGACTCCCCTAGCTTCATGGAGCCCAGGAGGATCACGAGGTGGGTCCTGGCACACGGCAAAGCCTCTGCGCGGCTGCTGGCATGGCCCAGGGCTGAGCTCTGCTGCCAGCCAGCTCTGAAGGATGGATGGATGGATCGATGGATCGATGGACGGATGGATGATGGGTGGATAGATGATGGATGATGGATGGATGGGTGGGTGGATGGATGGACGGATGGACGGACGGGTGATGGATGGATGGGTGGATTGATGGTGGATGGATGGATGGGTGGATGGATGGATGGATGGATGGATGGATGGATGAATGAGCAGGTGGACAGATGGGTGGATGGACAGATGGACAGATTGGTGGATGGATGGACAGATGAGTGGACAGACATACAGATGGATGGACGAATGGATGGACAAACAGATGAGCAACTCTGCAGACAAATAGCTAAACCTGAGGATGACTGGCTGGGCGAATCAGCTGGCCCAGACAGATGGATAACCAGACTGCCTCCAATATTACAACCTTCTGATCTTCTCCCATTTCAAGGCATGAGACTAGGAATTCATTTTAATCCACATATTCCATGAAGACATACGGCCGCACGCGTGGCTCTCCCCTGCCCTCCAAAAGCCGACTTCTCCTCCTCGAGATCCTGTTGACTCGGGATCCCGGGCTGTAGGACAGGCGATACTCAGTGCCAGACGAAACGCTGTGTGCATATCTAGCACCTCGTTAGCATGCAGCGCTGGCGCGGGACCGGCGAGCTGAGATTGCCTCTGTTGCCTCCTTCCTGACCCCTTTGTCTCTCCTGCTATCGGCTGGGAGATCGGGCCGTGGGGCAGAGGGGCTGGATTTTCAGAAATCAGCTCTGGCTCACTGTGGCAGGGTTTTTATTTTGCCTGAGCCAGACTGAAGTTGTAAGGAGGGCAGACAGGAGAAATGCCACTCAGGCAGGGGGGTCGGAGCTCCCCGCAGCCCTCCCCGATGGATACCCAGTAAAGAACACAGGCTGGGAAAGCTGCTCCCAGCCCAGAGGAAGGTTTCCCAGCCCGGGTACCACCAGCTGATATGGCGTCCCTCCCGCTCCATCCCCGAGCTGAGTTTTGCCAGGATGTCTCCAGGAAGGTGGCAGGGCTCGGCTGGAGGACACAGCCTGCGGTCCCTGCGGGGACCGTCCCCCATCCCTGGCACCCATCCCTGGCATGGATGGGGATGGCAGACCCAGTTCTACTTGGGGTTCAGGAGGAGCAGAGCCATTTCCATGAGGCTCAGAGGGTGCTGCGGGGAGGGGGCAGCCAGGGGAAC